CTGATTGCTGATTTGTGCCACCAGCACCTCCTGCCGGTACGTCTCTCCATCCATTTGGAGGCATGCCTTACCTGTTATCGAAGCCCCCATCTCCAAAACGGGAGACTGACCACCCTCCCTGGTGTGACCGTCAGGTATCCACAGCAGCAAACATTTAATGTTCGGACCTGTGTTGCTGAGGAGAACACCATCTGCATCCTCCTTACCACAGCTCACTAGGGCGCCATCTGGTGGCCAGGGGGGTAGACCCCCTTCTGCTATCATGCTTAAACCCCCTGTTCTCGCTTTGATATTCTCTCCGCAACCTCTCACAACCTCATCAGTTGTCTCTGTCAGCAGTCTTTCTTTCTCCATCGTTCTTCTTCTGGTCCGCAACAATCTCATTCATCTGAGTGTCATCAAGACTCACGTCAAAAGAATCATCTGTTTGGTCGAACAGAGTGACCGGATGCTTAGGAATGTTCCCTTTTTCTGTTGCTGTGTTTGCTGATACAGCTACTTTAGGTGAAGATGATCGAGTAGCATTCCCAGCAGGAACTCCCTGTGTCGCCTGTGACTTTGCTGCCAAAGCACTTTTGGTGGGTGATCGTGTCGCTTTAGCTGCTGCAGAACGCGTTGATTTGTCTGCCGGAGCAACAGTCTTGATATTTGCTGGTGTAGTAGGTGTAGCAAGGGCAGGAACCAAGGGTACTTCGGGGACAGTCAAACCCTCCCTCACTCCTTCATAATCTACAACATCCCCCCTCATCCAAGTCTACTGAACCATCATTATCCCTGAGGTCCAGGACTGCATCATCCTGAGTGTGTTCACTCTCGTCAATCATTGTTTCCACACCTTCACTCTCAATGAGGACTTTGTACTGAAACAGTGCATTAACCAGTCTCTGCTTCCGCCATTCAGCGAGTTCCAGACGTCTCTGGTAACAATAGTCAATATTATTCAATCGACTCCTGACCAAATGACATTCACAGTACTCCTCTCCCAGACCGATGGCCTGCTTATGCAGGTTCACAATAACATTCTGATAGCTCTTGAGCTCCTCAGTCACCTCCTCATGTTTCTGGAGAAGCGATAGAACACTGGCCTCATCCTTGCCAACGTCTTCCATGGACCCTAGTTGTAAAGTGTCCTTCATCCAAGTGTCAACCTTGCCAGAATCAGCAACGAACTGGTGGAAATCCATGGCAACAAACAGTCGCTTCCTTCGTTCATCAGCGAGGTCCACCAGGCTGCGCCACTGCTGTTGACCTCATTGATGTGTTGCTGAATCTTGTCAGCACAGAAATTGCCTGCAGCAACGAGGATGTCTCCCACTTGTAGTACTGACTGGAGATGGCTGTGACGGGCATTCATCTCATCCTCCATCGTGTCATGCTTGTTCAGCAGCAGGCGAGTACTGGTGGGGTTAAGTCCAAAGTCAAGTGATGACATAAGTTGTTTCTTCCCCCTGATCCATCCTTCCTCATCTTTCATGTTCCTGTAGAGCTGCCGCTGCTTGCGATCCTCTTCCACACGAGATTGTCTCTGCTCAACAAGTTTTTTCAGTTCATCATAAGCCGATTCCAAAATAAGCATTCGTTTTTCGACCACATCAGGGTCACAGAAGTCCCACAAGTCGTCTTCAGTAAAACGGGAGGCTGAACTGTTCACAGTTTCCACCTTCTCTGCCACTACATGGATGTCTGCTTCCAATAGGCGTTGCTGCTGCACGAGATCCTCCACCTCCATCAGGTGCCAACCATCACCCTCAGATGTAAGCCAGGCTGTGGTCCCTTCCATCCAGGCCAGGTTGCACAGCATCTCCTGGAAGATCTTGTGCAGGCTCAGTGTCAACTCCAAATTCATGCAACGAGTGTGAAGAAGCTCTAGCAGGTAATTCCATAGTCTCAGCTCTTCATCAGTGTCAATGTCATAGTAGTCATCTAGTTCCATTTCTGATATTGCAGCAGTCACTGCCTGTAAACGCTCCTCATTGGCATAGACATCGGTCATACATGGTTCATGGTCAAATCTAGCAACAAGTCGCTCCAGTTCCTTTATTCTGATCCACTCCTCCCTCACTGCATGCACAGACGGTAACTCGGAAGCGGACCTCCTGGCAGTTCTCTCATCCAGCATCTTACTCATAGGGTCATATCCTTCATTGCACTCCCCAGGTTTTGTTTTCCTGCACACAGGGGCTTCATGATGCAATCCCGCCGCTTGCTCTGGTGTGGCTGGCTCCGGCTTTACGCCCTGGAACCAGCCCTCCATCCCTCCGCCACCTTGCTTTCATCTCACAATAGGGTTTGGTCCACTGTGTACGTCCGTCCAGGAAACTGGGGATCTGAAAGGCATACCCCTGGGACAGGGACCATACGGACTGAACCCATACGGCGATGTCAGAGGATGTCCTGCGCTATCTAGCCGGTGAATTGCTCTCTCCACTGCCTCAGTGCTATCTTTCACTGCTGCGGAGGTGTTTTTACACAATTCTACACTGTTAATGGACATTTCGCTCACCGTCCTCATCATAAAATCTGCGTTCCTTCTGTTCAAGTCCCCCATTGACCGCATCATTCTGTCCATCATGTTTACCATTCCGGTATCCCGTGAACCGAAACTGTGTGCTCCGCGTGCCGATTCCAATCCTGAGCTCTGTTGGGTATTACTCCCATTGGCCTGCATCTGTGTATCTTCATTGTCCTCGCCCCCCGCGTGCCAACCTTTCGAACCTGTGGTATCCTCTGGCTCTATGTTATCTTCCAAACTATCCTGTTTGATGGGTTGGATCCGGTTCTTCAATTTCCCACTTGGGGTGTAATCAAATGTTGACACTAATTCTGCATCATGATTAAATTCTTCCAAGTCCGGTATGTCTTCCGTGGTAATATTAAACCCTGTTTTCTTCAGTGTCACCAATGATTTCACTTGATTTGGAGACAGTCCTCTCTCCCTCAAATCCTTCGCGCTTGAAAGATTTACATAAATGGGTTGTTGGGCCATATTGTTTTGTTTATAAAGTCCACTTTATAATACCAACTAACTACCCTGGTGCTAGTGGCTTCAGAGCATTACCCTTGTTTATCCCTCTAGTGGCCAACCTCCATGGAATGGTACCAACACAACATGTCCCTTACCTCTACACTCTCTCAATAATCCGTCCGTGAATATTCTTTTCCGTGAATAATCCTCCAGGTGAAAACACAACATAAGTGTCCTGGCACTTGTCCGTCGAATTGACCTACAGTTAGTGTCCTTTAATCCTCCGCTGTTTCTGTGTACTCCCGGAACAACACATCCCTTGAATGTAAACACTTGCGCTTTCTTCCGCGCATGCGCAGAATGTTATCCTCATGCTGTTCGGCGCGCACTATCGGTAAAGGCACCAAAATCCACAAAGTCGCCCGGCGTACTATGAATGTACTATAGTCTCTCACATAACTCCTGAAGTTTAACAAAAACACTGCCTGTGTTGTATCCGGTGCTTACCAGGCTAGCTGGAGCACCCGTGGGGTGAGCCAACCACGTGACCTCCACGTGAGCCCACCCAAGCTGAAAAATCCTTATTAATTTATTGTAAATAAGATTTTTTCTAGCCTAAACTTCCGAGACCGCCCTGGAATAACTTTAAAATTATTATAACCTGCAATGCGCTTGCTGACAAACAGTAGATCTAGCTGTAACTAATCCCTTTCCTAAATGGCGGGAAAACTGAAAACCACGCTGCGATTCCCCGAGATAGGAAAACTTAGATTCCCACCCAGGAACGGTGTTCGCGGCGTCACTGTAGTGAAAACTAGTTCACCACTACGGCAGAACACCTATGGAGTTAGCTATGGCTCGCACTCTGCGGTAATATAGCCCTAACCTAAGGATTTAGGTAGACCCCAGATAAGGCGTTGTGTACTCACAGAATGGCTGGCATAGACTCGCTGTTTTTCCGGCTGTTCCTATCACCTCCCGACACCGGTCATTACCACTATCTCTAGCAAGGGTGACCGGCGATCACCATACTATTTTGAAAGGTCATTTTCAGCACTTGAGCTTTGTCTAAAATAATAGTGGATGGTATCAAGAAACAGGAAATTTCCCACAGAATTCGAAACTGTGAAGTGTATTTGTGTGCATGGGATATTTTAATTTTTATAGGACTTGAATTTGAGGGTTGAAGGGGGAAGGACATATATCAGTGTTCACAAATTGTGTCTCAAAGTAACAGGACATTGGGTCCTGTAAGTTTCAGATGTCTGTCTGACCCATTAGAAATTCACAGGACCCATAGAATAAAACTAAACACACATTTCAGATTTAACATTTCTTATAATTGGCATTGAAATTATAAACAAACATAAGATTTATAAACAGCAAACAAGTGACACATGTCATATATAACAACTTCAGTCAAAGTCATTGTGAAATATACGGTCAGACACTGGGGCTGGCGGGTTGTAGACTTCTGTCCGACCGTTGGCGAATCTGCCAGATTTGTCAGAGGGTCAGATGCTATTCGTGAACACTGATATATGTCCCTGTGGCATCCAGGGGGAGTACTGCACTTTACCGGGCGCACTGTTTCAGATTAATTAGCGTTGCTGGGGTTCCCTAACCCTAACCCCTAACCCTAAGGATCGTAAAGGGTGCCTAACCCTAAGGATCGTAAAGGGTGGCATACCCTAACCCTAACCCCTAACCCTAAGGATCGTAAAGGGTGCCATACTCTAACCCTAAACCCTAACCCTAAGGATCGTAAAGGGAGCAGCGAGGGCTGCGCCCGGTAAAGTGCATTCTAGCCCACTTATTTACCCATTCAAATTGCATAGTGTTAATTTTATTACATAATGAACGCTCAGTGAGAAAAACGATAGATATCTATATACTTCTTCAGTTCTTGTCTGAACATGTCTCATGTTATCGGTTTGAAAGTACACAAACGAAGAAAAGACGGGCGAAGTGACAAACATATAAAAAGTAAAGAATTAAAATGAAATAAAACATTCCGAAAACCAAATATACTTACAATGTAAAATAGCGATTACTTTTAGATGATGCACAGACCAAGACAAAATTTGATAATTTCATAACACTCCAGCAACCATTTGTTTGAGCCGCCACACGATGACCCGGAAACACTTTGTGCGCATGACGGCCACTAAAAACCGATATTCGTGTCAACTCATATTATTCCGGAACAAACCAAAAGCAATTCGTCGCCAGTAGCCTTTCGATATCGGCTTCTGGAATGTCAGTTTTAGTCGGATGCTCTAAAAGTGCCGCTTCCTCCATTCGTCACCAATCACAAGTTTCAGTAACTGCAACAAGTTCCCATTGGCCTAATCTGGGCGCCGTCTTTTTAAGCCGCTCATAGGAAACCAGTACTGTTTATTAGACTGGTGTCCTTGCCCATCACCACCTGGTAAAGCCGGTTCCCTGCTCCCCATGCGCGCGTCATCTTGCGCCAAACTATAAGGCGATATGCGAGACGGGGCCCAGCTTAGCAGTAGGGCGGCGGAGAGAAAGCGCTCTTCGGCAGGCAAATCCAGTCTCAGGATCCCATTCGTTCTTGAAGCGACACCGAACGGAGGATCTTGGAACCAGTCTACTCGAGCGCCACCTGACCCGGACATTAACACTATATTCGAGTTCTGAATGCAAGCGAGCATGGCTGGCAGGAACCTGCTCACGGGAATTTCGCCTCTTCGTAAGGCACTTGTCCAGGTGCACCAGGTACTGAAATCGGTATTGTGAAGTATTTATGGTTTAAAGAAGTACATATCTCGACAGATGTAAGGCAAAATTGTATGCTGTAAAGATTTGCTCATTATATATCGTTGTCACCTTGGTCAGATGGGGAAATGACCTTGGCCTTGGGCTTGATTTGTTTATGCAAGTCTTGAGTTATGTAAAATGATTTTATGGAATAGAAGAAAAAGTATCTCCTGATGTTTGTTTTATTTAAGTAAAGTGCTAATTAAAGCAGTTTCATGCCTCCATTTATGTATGATTTATCAGTTTTCCACACGTAGAATATAATCTGATAAAGGAAATTATCTTAAACTTTCATGTTTCTATACATGCATTAAATAACAGAGCCTGTTAACGAACCGAAACATTTGTAAACATCCAGTATAAAAACAACAACAACAACTAAAAACAAACATGCTGAGAGGTTTGTGACCTACATTGAGTTGGCATATGTTTTAAAAAAGCAATCTGTTTGACATTGCGTGTCTGAACCATTAATTATTATGCAGAGTTGTAGTAACAACATGCTTCAGAATAATATAATGCACTAACTGCCAAATCATCATTTCTGTGGAGGGAATTCTTTAATTGTAATGTGTAGTGTAATTGGTCTGTTTCCAAAGATGATTAATTTACCAGTTTCTTAAAACCAAATCTGATAATGCAGCAATGTTAATTCGACTTTGAACAATGAATTTCAATCACAGCACTGCTAATGTTTTTGTTTTGTTGACAATGTAAATCCACACAGACTTTTAAATGTGGTCAGTACAATGGTAAATCCCGCCAAGCAAAGATTGATCTAGTTATTTGACCTCAAATCTGCCACAAATGTACATAGAAATTCCTACTTCGGAAGTACTGATTTCTCAGTTCATATTATATAGTGATAACTAATGTTACAGCTTTGTAAAGTAACTTGAATTTCATTGACCATTTGGAGCAGCAGATAACTTTGTCCCTTTGTTCTTGTTTCCAGACACGGTTAGCCCAGACTGCTGCAGCTGCCGCCCCACAACTCAGTCCCAAGATAAAGAAGTTTCAGATCTACAGATGGGTAAGCATCATGTAGTGCATTTACTCCATAGAATTCATGTTCACCTTTTTGACAGCCACTGGTATTTCACCTCCACCATGGTCATGTTATTGTTACATCACTGGATAAGGGCGGCTTCCTGTATGTGATATTCTGGGTTCAGATGAGGATTCCATCTTTTCATGGATATGACTAGATTCTTAACAGCTACCAGTAATAAGAAATAGGAAAATACATACAAGCAAACAGAACCATGCCATTCACCAGTTATTTTGTAAAAACTACAGTCTCAGCTATTATAAGCTCACTATGATCAACTGATATCATTCCCAGAAAGGTGCATTTCAACTGTTTTGAGTGACCTTAAATGAAGGTCAGGGTCACTGTAATGATCATTTCTGAAATATTTCTGCTTCTCAGTGTCCACATTTTCTGGGTCAACATGTTGATAAGATCTAGGACATTGTGCCACTTCCTCCCATTACCTAATTTCTTTATTTCTGTAGCTATTTAGTTTAAAACTACCAGTCCATGGAGCCTAACTGTACATCAGATTGAGGATTTGATGTGTCCAGTAGGGATTGATTATCAAGGGGAGATACAATATCAATCACCTGTTCTTTGGGGTCTTTTTCACACGTCCAAGAATTGCATTTCTGTTCCTCAATAAAGTGGCATGTGATGCAGCCCTTAGTGTATCAAGCAGTCCGTGGAGACCTGTCGGTTGATTGTTGAGTTTCCTATTGTTTAAGCAGGACATAAATTAAACTGTCAACATGGTCAAGACATGTCAAATACATATGGTGTTATTTTGTCCTAGTTTTACCAGATATATTGCATGATACACCAACTGCTGACTTGTTATTGTATTTGTTATGCAATATCTGTGATCTGTATCAGATTTGCCTTGGTGGTTTCTTTGCAGGAATATAGATCATCAATACTGGTTTTGTCAAATCATGGAATCGATCCTGACTGTAATATGGAAGTGTTTCCACCTGGTGTTATGACCCACCCTGTTGTACATCATTCCATTCTCATTTCTAAAAATGCTGCACTGATGAATATGCCTGTTCTTAACCAATATCAATAAATCCAATTTGTGGAAGATGTTCTGTTCAAATTCTAGTGTGGTAACCATATTGAAAACAACAACAACTGTAGCCTCACATTTGTTGCAGGACCCTGACAAGGCTGGTGACAAGCCCCGTGTTCAAACCTATGAAGTAGACTTGAATCAGTAAGTGCTGCATGTATTCTACATGGGATTAATGGTGTATTGTCCATCGTCAGCTTCAGACTGATCACAAAAGTGGTTTGTTAAAAACAACTTTGAAGGAATTGTTGAAGTGCAACACTGTATCTAGAACAAATGAAATCTTCTCAATGCATGATGACTTGTGGACAAGAATTAAACATATACGATTTAAAAAAACCCATATTGATATTTACCAGTGATCCTGCTGCAATTATGTGTGGATGGTAATGGTCACAAGAATGGACATGTAGAACATTCAAAGTTTGATGTTGTTCATAGTTTATGTTAGTGTCAGGCTAAAATCACCTCTTTTCTAACTGATTGTGGAGCGATGGGTTAGCCTAGTGGTTACCATGGTTAAAGCATTGGCACATCATGCCTAAGACCCGGGCTTGATTCCCCACATGGGTACAATGTGTGAAGCAAATTTCTGGTGTCCCCTGTCTGGATCAGTATACTGATGGGCAGGGAAAAGTTGAAAATATTTCAGATATTCTCTTGAAGCACCTAGACAGCTGCAACTCTTTAAGGATATGTTGATCCAGAGTTTGTTTGTATTTGGCATTACATGAAAATGATGTTTGAAATGTACAATCCTTTCCATTTTCAGATGTGGTCCAATGGTTCTTGATGCTTTGATTAAGATTAAGAATGAGATGGACCCAACCTTGACCTTCAGAAGATCCTGCAGAGAGGGTATCTGTGGGTCCTGTTCCATGAACATTGAAGGGACAAACACCCTCGCATGTATATAGTAAGTCTTCCTACTCAGCATCTTAAGTCTTTAGCATTGTTAAACCTTTGATAATGAAAGGATTTGGCATCAGTAAAGTGGTGGAGATGCTTTTAGTGTTTTTGACATCTTTTAGAGGTCTTACATATTATTTTTATTGTTTGGATATTTGTTTGTGGTGAGTCTTTTTCAACTTATAATGTTGAACTTCAATTTGAAGTCATGTGGTTTTCGGATATCCCAGAGACATGATTTTCAAGAATACATATACATGTCTCCTTTATGACCTTGGAAAATCATTGGCACATTGAATGCCGATTTTGCAAAAGGTCATAATGACCTAAGTTGGGATTTGAAGGTAACTTTGATTGTTATTAATATTTTGTTTGACTTTATGCCTTTTGCTACAGGTATTTTTAAAGTCTTAGACATGTATTGGTTATATCATTTGAATGCTTTTGTGTGACAAGTGATGACAATCTTAGATCAGTGGAAGGTCACTCTGACCTAATTTGATTAAGAATCATGTGCAGCTTTGTTTGCTGTGTTGATCCCCCTGGAGACACCATAGTTGATTTATATGCTAGATAGCTGACTGGACACGCTACGTCATACACATTAAAAGATACTTTGTGTTTATCATAACTTGAAAAGTTTTTTACCGTAAGTGGATGAAATTGGCACATATTATCTTTAAGATTAGACATTTAATTGGTGAGCATTTCAAAGTTCTCACTTAGGTGCTTTCATTTTTATACATTTACAAGTACATTATGAGCCGACAGTAAGCTCTGGGAACAAAAAGGTTAAGGTAGAAATAAGACATGTCGGTGGTGAACAGGTCGAGAATGACCCCAGCAGTGTATCAAGCATCTGCACTTATGCCTTTAATTCCACTGATACCTGACCGTGGTTCGGTAACCATCACTCTTTGTTGGATCCAAGCAGGGTCAAATATGGTCAATGCATCCAACTTGGAAGTTCAAGTAGCAATCATTGATTTAAAGATATGAGATTGAAACATCTTGTTCATTAAAACAGAGGATAAAGGCCTCAAGCTTTGTTGGTAATACAGGCCCTTGGTGTACCAATTTGTTCAAGACATATTGACAGGGGTGGATGCCAGTGGCAGTGATGGAAAATGCTCATATACCATGTAAACGTAGTATATTTCGCGCAGGTTTTATTTTCGCGAAAACATTTTAGCGCGAAAATTTATACACCGCGAATAAACCTGTCATTCATTCAGTCTAGCCACGCTCGCCCCTGAGTTGTTACCATAACACATCAAGTTTGAAGACAGAAATCTACGGGAATCTTACAATGACGACTGATAGTAGCATAAAGAATCAAACTTAACTGTCGCTGTAATGGATTTCCCAAAACATAATTAAATAATGAGCCAAATCCCATCGCCGAATTAGCGAAAACAGCAATGTGTGTTGTGGCCGCCATGGAAATTGGTCACATGACAGATGGTTTGATACAAAACAGATTACCACGAAACGACTCGGAAAGAAATAATACAGCAGTATTTTATTTATTCATTTAGATACAAACGTTTCGTAATGAAGCGAATAGTCACTAACACTCAATCATCTCATTCACAACAACCCGGCTTGTTTGAAATCACAAAGAACTTCATATACAGTATAAGTTAATTAGTCAGATCGTCAGAATTCGGAACATAATACTGATGTGTTTTTCATCTCTTCCGGGAGTAAACGGGTTACTGTGTACTTGTATATCGCACAGACAGGGATTTCCTGTGAGTAAGTAATAAATGCCGCCTGACAGGTTCGGCCACTCTGTTTGTTTTCACTGCTATTAGTGGCGGCCAAAGAGACGGCTGGCAGTTCCGGCAATTACTGATTGCGCGAATAATTGACCGCGCGATGTAGTCTAAACTGTCAATTCCGCGAAAATTGCACCACGCGAAAATAAGTACGTTTACAGTAGTCTTTTCATAGGTGCTTACAATACAAATAACTAGACCCTAGGTATATATGTGTATTGTCACCGATGGGGTCTCAGCACTATATGAAAGGAAAGGGATGCATCAACGTCGAATTTCTGATTTCAGAGTAGTAAAATGCATTCAACGGATGAGCACTGTGATCTTAGCTATGAATTAGTTATCAAAACATTGGATCATACCAAAAAAAAAGATGCAAGGGGTGTTGGATTGTTTGACTCTCTATATTTTTGTACTTTTGTACAGTATTCATCTTTGCCTACTCATATGATACAATGAGAAATTGATGCATTAAATATATGTTTGGACTCTCTCTATTTTTTAACTTTTGTACAAAATTGAAATTGCATTTAATAAAATGCATTCATAAGGAGAAGTATATAGTTTGTGATGTTCAACCTTCTCGAGTAGTAATTTAGACTTGGTGCATAAACCTGGGAGTATAATAATGTAAGGTATACATAGTCGCACGGTAGGGATTAAACTTAGGTCTCTCTAATCTCAAATATCGTTGTTATAAAAATTGCTTAACATAAGGTAAGTTTTTCATTTTAGTTGGCTAGTGGTCCTACAAACTTAACCAAAAAAATGGGTGCTTTGTATAATATTCTGGTAGATACTTTTGTCTGCTCTCCTCATACCTAGGACATACAAGGAGGACATAGAACCCGTCTTCATCTGTGTTTCTACAGAAAGGGCAGAGCTATGCATCAGGGTCAGGGTTTTTAGCCCAATAGAAGCCGACCCCTTAATTAATGAACTTAAACTCTCCCAGTGTGTTAACACAGTCTGAAATTCGACCGATTAGCACAGAACCACTCAAGCATGATTTGACGGATTGGCACTGCTGGCTGTTCAAAATTCGACGGATTACCCTGTAATCAACCCAAGTTCATTGCAAGATGGACTCAATGATGGTCACTGCAAATAGCCCTATAAAACTATGCATGCAATTCATGCCTATAGATTTATCTTCAAAATGAGACAAAGATTACAAAAGACAAAACGTCACTTTGTAAGAAAGTGTCTTCGGAAGGTCTAAGTGTTGTGACTTTGTGATTCCAATCCCAGGTCCGAGTTTGTTGTTGATTGTATTGTGTACACACATGCCAGGCACCATAACATGATGATTCAACAGCCCTTGTCGGGGGACCCATCGACATTCTCTCCGACACAAAAGGGCCTAACCATTGTAATGAGTTGACCCTCATTTATTCATCTCATTCAAATCTGTTCCCATCAGTTTTGAATGAAAGTCTGTATGAATATTAATGTAAATCATGGAGATGATTACAAAAGCGTATTGTGGTATATCGGTAATACCATGCAGTTGTACTGAAAATGCATAGTTGATTCTTCAAACGTCTCTCCTCCCTTTATGATATCATATTTTGTTCAAACCATAAGTGTCAGTTTTATTCTTCAGTAGTAATGCAGGAAAATATTTGAATGTCAATACCGACACGTTTTTGTGAGGTGCTGTCTTTGTCGACATTTTAAGCTGTTGACTTCATATCCAGGCAAGCTTCAGTGGTTTGGCACAACTTGAGTTCACTCGGTGATCATAAATCTGATACTAATTTTCTGATAAGGTAATGGAGTAGTATGTTTATATCGCTCAAGTCAATTCTATTACAGAAACTACGCTGGCCAATATGTTCAGTATGATATATGGGACTTTCTACTTTCCAGTAAGACGGACACAAACCTGAGTAAAACCTGCAAGATCTATCCCCTGCCCCACATGTATGTTATCAAGGACCTTGTCCCGGTAAGTATGTCAGCCTATCATGTGATGTGAAAGTTTCACAACAATATTCTAGTTACAAAATGTTAACAATGTCTTTGATTGTGTTTATATTTATTGTGACTTTTGTGCTGAAAATAAGAGACAATTCAGCCTATTTATTGTTACACAGCTGAAGTAGGGGATGAGTTGCCTGCCATGCTGGTGGGGGACAGCCTTAAACCAGGGAAGGATCTATCTGCTGACAAGTGCCACCTGTAATATGTACTGCTCTGGTTGCAGTGGGGTGTATATGGGTGGAGTGTTATTTGTCTCTGTTTGCAGTTTGTTCATTGTGTTAACCTTCCTGCACTCTGATGTTATTTATTTCTGTAGGACATGAGCAACTTCTATGCCCAGTATCGTTCCATTGAACCGTACCTTCAGAAGAAGAATGAGACTGAGGCAGATGTTGGCAAAGAGCAGCACCTGCAGAGTGTGTCTGACCGGGCCAAGCTGGTAAGTTGCCTTAAGTAGGGTATTTCATGTAGCAATGAGTTCTTGTGTTGTTGTAGGCGCGAGCCTTGTTGGTAAATATCCTTACTCAGTGATTGTTGTTACATTTACCAGAGGCTCCAGTGGAACATTTCCTTGTGTTAAATGGGGAGGTGGGGTATATTAATGGTTAAAGGGTTTGCTTGTCTCGCTGAAGACCTGGGTTTGATTACCCACATGGGTACAATGTGTGAAGCCCATGTCTGGTGTCCCCCTCCGTGATGTTGCTGGAATGTTTCTGGAATATTGCTAAAAGCAGCGTAAATGCCTACTCACTCACTCACTCTGTGTTGAATGTCTAGCTGATGTGTGTTGTAATACAAGTCCATATGAACCCTGTGGCAGTTTGCTTGTATAAGATGTACATACAACATGCGGTCTGTGGTCGTTCCCAGGGCCCACCAGCTTTAGACGTAGGTATTTTCTATCTTTAAGGTATGAACATTAGGTTGGAGCAAATCTATTTAGCTCACTGTTAATATTAAAGTTCAATTGAATGTCATGTTAAATAGAATTACCATACTACTTTGCATTTGTGAAACATGTACTTTATGGTTTCCGAGATGTAAGACAAAGAAAGTGCTTAGGCTCCATGTTGTTGGTTGTGAAGATGTTGGTTGTGAAGACGTTGGTTGTGAAGATGTTGCCATGTGTTCCAGGATGGGCTGTACGAGTGTATCCTGTGTGCATGCTGCTCCACGTCCTGTCCTAGCTACTGGTGGAACTCGGACAAGTACCTGGGACCAGCTGTCCTCATGCAGGCTTACAGGTATATCATACACAAGGCACAATTAGGGCACAAATCATTGTCACAGTCAAGTCATGATTTCAGAAAGGCAAGGATCATATAACTTCTACACATGATCAGCTATACAATATATGTCTTTTGTTAACTGATAAACTTCGCGTTTTATGCTGCCAAGTGCATGAAATGTTGTCAGACATGAAGCTAATGCACCAAACTTGGAATGGCTTTTGAGCAAACCCGAACATACAGCTAGTTCTGCAATTGTTGTAAAACTTTAACGGGACTCATTGTTAGGTGTTGGGTTTTAATGTATTAAGTAAGCAGATAAAGAAATATCATATGATGTAATGCACAGCCAGTCATCATGCTTTTGAAGTCAGTGAAGTATGTATCCTGAATACTGATCTTAATCATAAAATCCATTAAGGCCTTGTGTCAGAAATGATAAATCATACATTTTGAAGGGCATTGTGAATACTGGCTCACTTTTCATACAAACAACACTTATTTTTATGTCATACTCATAGGTCATCCATGGTCTTAAATCAAACCTATCATGAATCAAATTCCTGACGTATTGTTGATTAAAAGCATCAATTGAGGGCACTGACTTAAGCAAAAGAACATGCATAAAGCAATTCCAGTTATGATGGCTGCTTGCCTGATATGTCAGCAGTATAATTAGTTGAGTTTGTTGTGTAGGTGGATGATTGATTCTCGGGATGACTTCACCGACGAACGGCTGGCCAAGATGGAGGACAAGTTCTCAGTTTACAGATGCCACACTATCATGAACTGTACCAAAACTTGTCCCAAGGTAAATACAACTGATGGTTCAACTGAACCCCTTCAAGTATAGGTTTACATCAGAAACTTTATAGAGGTCATAATACAAGTTTTTTGGGTTGGTGAACAGCTATATTTGGAATACCTTGTAGTAAGTGGCATAAGTTTAAATGCATAGTCCGTATTCTGGTACTGTACATGAATACTATAGTCCGAGGGAGGAGTGCAAAGAAAGGGACAGCCAGGTGTGCGAGAAAGGATGGAGACGGCACAGTACAGGTTCACGAAACAATAACTTTGTCGGCACTTGTGCACGTGCTTCTCTAACTTCTGGCTGTCCCTTTCTTTGCACTCCCCCCTCGTAACAAATAGTGAAATGTGTCCATATTTTAATGATAGTTTGTTAAACAACTTTTTTATTTTTAAGACATAAATTCTGCAAATAAATCACAGAGTTTGTGTGATGTTTTGATTATGATCAGCGTTTCATTGAGTATTATATGTTTATTAGTTTTCGAGTTAGATTGCAATTCATCAGTCCGCTTTTGAGCCAAACGGACTATAGGTGTGATAATCTCCTTATCATAAAATGTCAATCCTAAATTCTGTCATTGAAAAGCCTGTTATAATCTCTCAGAAGTTCTGAAATGTTCACATCAATATATGTGACATGTGATGATCTGTGATGAGTCAGCAATCGGTACACTTTGGAGTGAAACCTGTTTCTTAGGCAATATAGCAAATACACATTCGCCAACTATAAACTGCAGTTTTGCCATTCTTGGCCAGCAAGAGTAACTGCCCTTTGTCAAAGGGAAGCAACTCCAACCCTAGGCTTTGTGATGTGTTTACTTTGAATATGTGGTCTGTCTTCATGCAGATGGTGATAATGTCAAATTGAAACCAGGTAGCGATTCAGATATATTTCAAACATTTTCAGATGTTGATGTTTATTAATTGGGGAAAAAGACCTGAGCTACAAGAGGTTTACAAGCACCCGCATGGACAGTGATACCACTGGTTCTTACTGTTGAACAATATGTCCAAAGCTGCCCAAACTGGTGAACTTGTCTCAGCTCTGACATGATTCTTTGTTAACCGTTTTATTATGAGTCGGGGCCTGCAACTGTGTATTGTTTTAGTTTTGCACATTGCGTATGATTTCAGGGTCTGAATCCAGGACGGGCGATCGGAGAGATGAAGAAAATGCTCCTGTCCTACAACAAGAGTGCTGCAGCTCATGCATGATGATACAAGCACCAGCAGACTGTCACATGCAACCACAGGTCACCAGCTTTGCTGAGTGATCCTTCAACCAGCTATACTAGGACACTCATGCCCTTGCTTCACTGTCAGTCTGACCGTAGCAATGTAGTAACACAGACAATGTAGAATAAATGTCAAATGTTGAAGACTTGCATATGTTGCAGGTTGAATTCAATGGGTTTCAGATGTTATTTGGCAATGATGTTATTTCAAGGTATTTATGACACTGGTGTGAACATATATATTTGCGATTATTTTCAGTATACATGTATGTATATGCATGAAAGGTGGTTGAGGAGGACAGTGCTATTCTGCCTCAGAGTAAGGATGATTATGCTTGTTATGTTTGTGATATTGACTTGTTCATGTATTTTACTTGTTAAGCAGGTTGAGAAGAAGACCCTTTGATGCTGCCATCAAAAATCTGTTGGACATTTGCCTAGTTAGCTGTGGACAGTAATGTTGACTTCACTAAATCCACACATTCTTCTATGCAGCTACATCTTACACGGTGGCATTGGTCAGACCGTGTACTAGGTATCTAGTCACAGCTAAGGTTAACAAAATAAGTAAAGTTTGTGTGTGGAATAAATTGATTCTCATGACCAATTTATTTTGTTCGATATGTAAATGTCACAAATGTGACACTGTAATGAATTGGTTGCTGTGACATCTGCACTATTTGTTCCAAGGTTTGCCGAGGTACGTCAGGGAGGTGTGCAGGGAACCATGCACTACATAGAGCAGCCACCTTCCCTCTCGGACAGCACTTGCAGTTGATCTTCCTTAGTGGTGTCTTCATGGCCCTCGTGGACAATCAGTCTGCTATAGACCATGTTCTAATAGATGTGGAAACACTACTGCTAGGATCTTGTGGTCAGTTACATGGCTATCTGGTGTTAATGAACTGTGTTTCACTGACTTTTGCACTATTTCGACCAATGAACAAGACATTTTACACACAACACTTGTTTTAGGTTATTGTGTAAGTGTACATATATTTGTAGTGAATAAAACTTGGTCTATGCATAACTTTTGTTTCTGAGTAGTCAGTTCTACATCCTTGGTTGGCTTCAGGTTTTTATGACCTCATGTTATTCATCCTTCTATCAGGAATGAAATCGACATTAACATGGCATGTACGATCCCACCAATGTCCTCAGAAAGTTGTTGACAGATGACATGGCAGTCATATTTAAACTTCTAATTTCCTTCTTGGATATTTGTATTATGTATAATTTGAGACCTGATGATGGGCATGTGTTTGGTTTAGCATGTAGGGTGTACATGAAATGTCTTTGTGGCTCAGATCTGCGTGTTTGTTTGATTGTGTATAAGTACTGTTGTGCATAAATATCTACCATTGCTGGAGGATCAGACAACTTTCTTCCCTTGCTTCAGCCTTGCTTCGGCCCTACTTATGGAATGAGGTTCTATGTTTTTGGTCACCTTCAAGTTATTCGAAGATGCATTTCTGAAATTCACTGCTAATATCTCAGTATGACATTTTATTCTTGTTGAAATGCAAAATAATCTTTTTTGGAAATAAATTGTTTCATGTTAATGAAAGGCTGTGTTTTATCTGAAACATCGATTGCCCACCCTGAGATAGTAAGATTAGTATTTCAATATTCAATGGCTCGAGAGCCAGTGGTACTTGTTGTTACCCTGACTGGTGCTTGTCATTAAGGGAATAGAACAAGGAGTCACTAGAATGTGTCCGTGAGGTATCCATATTCAACTGGCATGCTATATGTGGGTTTGCAATATACAATTGGTCTAGTTGACCAAGCAGTCACACACATGCAAGTAAGATGATAAACACCACTTCACCTAATCCCATCTGTTTGAAAAACATGATCTTATATACACATGTAGTAGAATACCTGCTTGAGTATATCTAAAGTTAAACAATTGTTTAGTCATGGATTCAGAAGAAAAAGTAAGATGTCCGAGTTTCCCCCCTATTGCCACACAGAAGTGCCTTTACAACACAGGCCTCTTTTGGAACTTGCAAAGATGATGGTCAGTTTTTAATGTGCCAGTTTGTAACAAGCATCAGGGGAAACCTTAACTTGATTATGGAACATTTCTTGAAAGTGGCTGGGCTGGGAAAATATTATGATGTTCGAATATTTAAATCCTGGTAAAATAATAGTGTCAGATACAATTGCTTCCCTGCATCTAAATTCCTTTGAGTTGGATTATGAAGTTCATCCATATCAGATCTAAAGGTTTCCTCCGGTACAGCTACAAGAACATATGATATTGCTTGTATAACTGGATGTTTTATAAATGAATCCCCAGTAGTAGATCTGGGAGACGATCTGTGTGCAGCTGATTTACGAGTCGAATACACGCTGAAATGCAGTCTGGTTCCCTGGGCGTGTCATCTGAACAGGAGAGAGACAAACTTCTAAAAACGGAGATCTGCTTTTAAACAGCAAAAGTACGATAAACAACACTAGTTACATACATTTTTGAGATGCTGCTCACATACATAACATCATCTTCGTAGTCAGAGGTGTCTCAGTTCGCTGTGCAGAATTGTCTAGTCTTCATGTTTGCTGTCATACCGGTCTAGTGATGCAATATATAGTAGATCAAATGTTCCAAATAATTATTCCATCCGGGATTTGTTGATATGTCCAGTGATCGTTTCTGTCTCTTCTCTTTCGGTGTCGGGGCGTTGGGGTAGCCTAGTGGTTAAAGCGTTCGCTCGTCACGCTGAACACCCGGGTTCGATTCCCTATGTGGCTTCAATGTGTGTAGCCCATTTCTGGTGTCCCCCGCCGTGATATTGCTGGAATATTGCTAAAAGCGTTGTAACCATACCCATTCACGATTCCCCACATGGGTACAATGTGTGAAGCCAATTTGTGGTTGCCCCCACCGTGATATTGCTGGAATATTGCAAAAAGCGGCGTAAAACTAAATTCAGCCATTCCTTTGTGGTGTCGGCACGAAGAACCGGGTAATGTTTACACGCAGATGCACACACCTTGTCCCAGACTAACATCTAGTCTCTGAAATCAACATTTTACAGAAGGAAAAAACGATTTCGAAATCATGTTAATAAAATATGATAAATTGGAGCCCAGAGGCTTTCTTCATCCTGAAGCTGGTAATCTAGACTTGCCACACATTCTAGACATGTATTGAGGATATTTGTTTCAGGGTCGTTGCCGTGAGACTTTGCTCGTCTCATTACTTTTATAGGGTCACGTGCAATACCTAGGAGAACCGCATGCAAGGAAATCAGCAGCTCACATCAAGGTGTCTTGCATGTGTCGCCCAAGATGTGCAATCACCGGACTTCTCATCGACTCATCCTGAACATTTAGCGTCCTCAGTCCGACACAAGGAAACAATGCAGCGTTACTTGTTTCGTACCTCGGCGAAAAAAACCACTTTTCATTTTGTGTTTAACCTCGAAATGTGAGTGAGTATGGTTTTACGCCGCTTTTTAGCAATATTCCAGCAATATCACGGCGGGTCCTCGAAATGTGTATGAATAAATATACTTATAAGTTGGAAAAGAACCCGTATGGAGCAAATCCAAGGCAACAAACCTGACCAGGTCCTTCTAGATAAACCAAATGGAATTACTGAATTTCTTGTCATTTTGACCCAAATCTGCATGACAAGACACAACATGGCAAAAATATGGCCCTAAGTTGATGGTGAGCTTAACGAGCCTGTTCTGTATCAGGATCACCCGAACCTTCTTTGCTACATTCATTAATTTTAATCCTTAAAAGAGACAAGAGCCTGTCAACATAGTGAAGCCCATTTCTGGTGCTGAATTTCGTCCTGGACTGTATGCCTGTGTCAGTTGCTTCGTCGTTAGACACAGGGAAGTTCCGCACTGCTGGGTCCTAGCCCCACACCAGACAAGGAAGGTAAATTCAGCGCCCAATAAAAGATGACCTATTTCAATTGCATGGGTTTATCCACACTGCTGTATATACATTGTAGTGAGGGAACGCTTAGTCTACTCTGGAATACTGGAGCCACGAGGTGCCGTGTCATTACTGACACTGGACATTTTCACAGTCTTATGTTCGGACAAGTGTCCGTAGCACCTGACGAATATTGACTCTTCTTGTTACGTACGATACAGCAAACTACACGCAGGAGACGGAAACTAAATGACTGAATATTTCTAAAGCAGGAAGTAAATTTGCGTCGCGTCACGGCTGGGAGATCGGGCTCTGAAACACCATGCCGAATTGGCGAGCAGTGGCAACTAGCTCGGTGGTCCTGGGGGTTGGGTGTGTCCTGTCAGGATTCCTGACCACTACCTCGCAGCAGTAAGTACAGTTTGTCTAATTCCTGTTTGTTAAAGCACAAGCATATCACTACATACAGTACAGCTTGCCTACTTCATGTTTGTTAAAACATAAGTATATCACTACATACAGTGCAGCTCGCCTACTTCCTGTTTCTTAAAACACAAGTATATCACCACAGATAGTACAGCCTTTCTACTTCATGTCTGTTAAAAACAAGCATATCACTACAGATAGTACAGCTTTTCTACTTCATGTTTGTTAAACACAAGTATATCACCACAGATAGTACAGCTTTTCTACTTCATGTTTGTTAAACACAAGTATATCACTACAGATAGTACAGCTTTTCTACTTCATGTTTGTTAAACACAAGTATATCACTACAGATAGTACAGCTTTTTTACTTCATGTTTGTTAAAATCAAGCATATCACTACATACAGTACAGCTTGCCTGCTTCATGTCTGTTAAACACAAGTATATCACCACAGAAAGTACAGCTTTTCTACTTCATGTTTGTTAAACACAAGTATATCACCACAGATAGTACAGCTTTTCTACTTCATGTTTGTTAAACACAAGTATATCACTACAGATAGTACAGCTTTTCTACTTCATGTTTGTTAAACACAAGTATATCACTACAGATAGTACAGCTTTTCTACTTCATGTTTGTTAAACACAAGTATATCACTACAGATAGTACAGCTTTTCTACTTCATGTTTGTTAAACACAAGTATATCACTACAGATAGTACAGCTTTTTCTACTTCATGTTTGTTAAACACAAGTATATCACTACAGATAGTACAGCACTAAACACAGATAAACACAGATAGTACAGCTTTTCTACTTCATGTTTGTTAAACACAAGTATATCACTACAGATAGTACAGCTTTTCTACTTCATGTTTGTTAAACACAAGTATATCACTACAGATAGTACAGCTTTTCTACTTCATGTTTGTTAAAACACAAGTATATCACTACAGATAGTACAGCTTTTCTACTTCATGTTTGTTAAACACAAATTATATCACTACAGATAGTACAGCTTTTCTACTTCATGTTTGTTAAACACATATCACTACAGATAGTTACTTCATGTTTGTTAAACACAAGTATATCACTACATACAGTACATCTTTTCTACTTCATGTTTGTTAAAACACAAGCATATCACTACATACAGTACATCTTTTCTACTTCATGTTTGTTAAACACAAGTATATCACTACAGATAGTACAGCTTGCCTACTTGTTTGTTATGACTACTTCCTGGCTAAAATACTAAACGTTAGTGTGTTGGTCACAATAGTAATCAATTTCTTAAGTCAGCCCCCAAAATAGGTCTGTATGTGAACAATGTGTGGACGCCATGTCTACTATACACTAACCGGAAATTGGCGTTGTAGTAGACATGGCGTCCACATCTAGTACAACGTGTCTAATTTACATCTACTACTGTGTTTTGGTACAAGAATGTCAAGGCCCGGGATTCCCATAACAGATGTCTAGTATGGAAGCTGAGGTTTGTATTAAAGCTGCCATTTAATGTCAGTTGCTTATTACCGCCATCTGGGGGCGGTGGGGTAGCCTAGTGGTAAAAACGTTCGCTCCTCACGTCCTTCTCGAAAACCCATTCTCACTCTTTTTGCGGCGTAAAACGAAAGTCACTCACTATTGCCGCCATCTCATTATTTAATCTATATAATAAAATAAGGATATAATTCGCGACTAAATCTTTCCTTCACTAGGATGTCCGTGTTGACACGTGTCTTTACTTCCTCTCATATTACATGTCAGTATATATGCGGAGTAAGGTTCATAGTTTATCGACAGTTTGTTGGGGTGTATTCAGAGGGAAGAAATATTCCCTGAACAACACATGATACAATCGTCCGTACTTGTATTCCACTTTATGAAAATATTCAAGCAATATGACGATTTTGTAAATTGACGGTCTGCAAATTTGGTGGTCTGGACCAGATAATCCAGTGATTGACATAGTGAGCATCTATTTACTCTATTGCGATACGATGACAGGTATTAACCAAGTCCGAGAGCCTGACAACCCGATCCTGGTTGTCACCTCTATACGACAAACATGGGTCTCTCCATTACATTACAATGTACAAGGGTATTCTAGATCAGTCTTGCACTGCACCCAGACAGGGCCCAGAAAATGTTCCGGTGCATTTGTTTGTGTCAAGGATGTCATAAGGCATAAACATTTTACCTGTGTCGTTTGGCTGTGGATTCTAGTTGCCAGCTTTGTCATCCAACATGTCAGCGGTAACACACGTGATATTGCAGATTACTCTTTCTGAGACGGGTAAACATTCTGGTACACAGTTGGGGTTGAATCCCACCCGGGATTCTGAGAGAGGCACATAATCGCCAGGACGAAAGTAAATAACATAACCGCACCAGCCACCAAGCCTCGGTGTAATCCCAACCGTAACATTTGTTACATTTGACCACTTTCAAAAAACTATCTTACTAAGTGACTCCAGAGCATGGCTTATGTGAAACACACATTCGACTGACGTGAAGGTGACTGCTAAATGCATAACTGACCTTATGGCATTGAAATGAATGTCTCGACTGGAATATGCGTCCAGGAAAGACTCTAGAACACTTACCAACAGTCGTGCTGCCTCTTATCATCAACATGTATTTGATTTGCCAGATGGGCTGCACACGCCAACACTACAGGACGGCCTCGGTCACGGCTGCACACGTTCGACCACTCCTTCTTCATGGTAAGATCACCCATCTACCCACTCACCTACCTTACCAACCACACAACCACCAACCCACCCACCTACCTACCCACCCACCCACCGACCTACCTACCTACCTACTACCTTACTGCCTACCCATCTACCTACCTACCTACCCACCCGCCTACCTATCTCCCACCCACCCATCTACCTATCTCCCACCCACCCACCTTACTGCCTACCCATCTACCTACCACCCAACTACCTACCTACCAACCTACCTACCCACCCCACCTACCTACGTACCCACCAGCCTAAACACCGACCCAACCTACCTATCTACCTACCTACCTACATACCTATCTACATTCATACATACCTATCTACCCACCTACCTAAACACCCACCCAACCTACCTACCCACCCATCTACCCACCTACCTTGCTACCAACGTACCTACCCACCCCACCTACCTACCTACCTACCCATCAACCTAAACACCCACCCACCCACCTACTTGCCTACCTACTTACGGTACCAACATACCCACCTACCAATCTACCCACCTACCTACATACCCACCCAGCTATTTACCTACCTACCCACCTACTTACGGTACCAACCTACCTACCCACCTACTTACGGTACCAACATACCCACCTACCTACCCACCCATCTACCCACCTACCTACATACCCACCCAGGTATTTATTTACCTACCTACCTACCTAACTAACACACACACACACACACACACACACACACACACACACACACACACACACACACACACACACACACACACACACACACACACACACACACACACACACACACACACACACACACACACACACACACACACATACATACATACATACCTGGGTGCGGTGGGGGTAGCATAGTGGTTAAAGCGTTCGCTCGTCACGCCGAAGACCCGAATTCGATTCTCCACAGGGGTACAAGGTGTGAAGCCCATACCCGCCGTGATATTGCTGAAATATTGCTAAATGCGGCGTAAAACCCAACTCACTCACTCACCAACCTAACTACTGACCTAATTACCTATATTTACCTACCTACTTACAGTACCCACCTACCCACCAACTTCGTATTTTCGCGTGTGAGAACATCTCGGTAAATCACACGTACATAGCCTTCTTGACATGTCGCCACGCAATGTAATATTAACGTCTGTTTCAGCAAACATTCCTATTCCTAGGCCAACTGTCGTGCCTTGGACTTCACTCCATCATACGTAAAATACGCGGTCCGCAACCTGCTGTAGAGGAGGACCAGGTGCCAGATGGAAGAGTCGCGGCCCAGAGGCGGGCTAGAGCAAGAAATAAGATGGAAGAAAATAGAAAGCAAAACCCTCAAGTTAGGAATGAAAGGTCCATAGAGGAGGAGCTCGTCGAAGCAGCAGTGGACGTGAGGGTGCGTGGGAGAGAAGACAAAACCGTAAAGGACGCTGCGGGTAAGTCATCATCAACATGTCTTCATCGTCTTGTAGATATCGGACGAGCTGGCATATTACTTCAGATCTATTTATGGCGGATTTTATAATTACACTTGACATGAAATACCGTTTGTTTTTGTCCTTTTGTAAACTTAAATAATCAGAGACAATTAATGGGACCACTTTGCTGAATACCAAGAGATTTTTATAAAGGGAAATATGCCACTGTTTATACTCAGCAATACAATTGGCGGCCAGGAGGAAACATGAAGTCCTTCCCCAAACCATTGTGAGGAACTAGGGGAGAGTGTGCGCCCAGCACCGATGCTGGTCAATAAAGGCGACTACATTTGCCAGTTTGTTTGTTGTAGTTACTTTCCTTTGCAAGAGTGAGTGAGTTTAGTTTTACGCCACTTTAGCAATATTCCAGCAATATCACGGCTGGGGACACCAGAGGTGGCCTTCACACTTTGTTCCCATGTGGGGAATCGAACCCGGGTCTTCGGCTTGACGTGCGAACGCTTTAACAACTAGGCACCACCACCCTTCGCAAGATAGGGAATCTGAGTTTCGTTAGTTTCGTTTCTTTGAGTTGTTTTCAAAAAACGTACCTTCATTCAAATGAAAACAATTAATTAAAGTTCGTAACTGAAAATACATCCACGTTACAATAACGTTTGTTTAGGGGATATTATTGAATTTATAAAACAACTTTGTTAATCAAAACATGCTCTTCCATAATGTGTTCACGTCATAATGTGTAAGTGAATGCTGAATCGACGTCAAGCCAGCATGGTATTCAGTTGTTTTGTTTCGGAAAAATATGATTGCTTCCGTCACATTACGGGAGTGATAATCTTCGTTACATAGGGGAAGATGTCCGTGGACAGGTTCAGGCAGCCGGGGATGGAGTTATCGGGGGTCCCGTGGTCGGCGTTCAGGTGGAGGAGACGGAGGAGGGCCTGAGACAGAGGCGCCAGAGGGAACAGAGAGAACAGATGATACGAGAAGCAGGCCCCAGGAGAGGACCCAGGCTGGCCAGAAAAATTAAACCAAAGGACAAAAAGGAATACAACAAGATTATATTTCTGCCATGTGCGCTCTGCGACTTTGCAAGAACAGGGTTACTGTTTATTGGACTGCGTCAGACATTCCCTAGTAGTTTCATCATGCTGCAGGGTGAGTGGTATGTGGGATCTACCCCACCCAAACACATTTGGGAACCGTCCTCTACCATTATCAAGTTTTATGAAACTGTACGTATTTCATTCGATATCAATAAAAAGGTAAAGGGGTTTTAATAAATACAATACCATACAACAGCGATTGGACAATAACACAGCGAGGATTCCATCTGAGATTATTTCATGAGGACAAGCTAGAGACATGTTTGAATCGAACTCATTATTACGTGATATTATAATTGTTTGAAGGTGTTGGGTTGCTGGCAACATGTACATTGACCGTGGCGTTTGTTGGCCGCGAAAAGACCGTGCGTAAACTGCAGTGGGTTGGTGCCTCGATATGTGCTGTGGGACTGGCGGTGATCGGCCTGAGGGACTATGTGTGGGGGAAGGACAACACATATGACCCGTACGGGATAGCTGCCGGTGAGTTATTGTGCGGTATGTAAACATGTAAAACATTGAATAATTGTTTGCAAAAAGTCAAATTGTTGGATGTTTATTTTCTTGACTGAATGTAGCCTTCGGGATGGTATGCTCTTAATGACGGGAGCGAGACGCCTAGCTAGATTCACAATCAAAATGTGTCTGCCAGTTCCAATCCCAGATTCTGACTGATGGTGATTCGCGATTTCTCAGCACCATGCACCACTTTACCAAACTGTGATACGCATCACTCTTCTCCTACCTAAAGCTGACACACACCAGTAAGGCTACAGTACTACTGAGATCAACATTGGATCCAACTCTCTCACTAGTGACTATGGTCGGTTTTTTCAGGGGACCTGCTGATTGTCATGGCACAGCTGATGACGTCAATTCAGGTGATCCTTGAGCAGCGCTTTGTGAAGAAACACGATATAGATCCACTTGTGGCTGTTGGACTTGAAGGTATGCAGTGAATATAAGCAGGATGTGAAACACAAGGTATCAGAGCGCCACGGTAAAGCCTATATTTGTTTCACGTGTACTCGATGTCACACACTACTGGTATGTTTATTGTTCTGTGGGGTTTGTAAGCTCAGAGGGGTTTTGAAGAACTGCTTTTTCGCCAACGTGCAGAGTAAACGGCATGGGCGGATCCAAGAATGTGGAAAAGGGAGGGGGGGACCCCCTGACCCCCTTGGCTCCGCCAACGCCAAAAAAATCTTCAATGTGGTCATAAGTCATTTCCCCTGAAACCCACCCACCCCCAACCCTTGGATCCGCCCATGAACGGGTGTGTTATATACCATATAATGGTTTTAATTTATCCCAGAGTAGATGTGAATATACACACTGCTACAAATCACATTACTGTTGTTGTGAAAATTTGAAATGCAAGGGGCGGTGGTGTAGCCTAATGACTAAAGAACCGGGTTCGATTCCCCACAATGTGTGAAGCCCATTTCTGGTGTCCCCCGCCGTGATATTGCTGGAATAATGATAAAAGCGGCGTAAAGCCATAGTCACTCATTCACTCACAATTAAAGTCCAATTTCTTGAAGGCGTGCTTATGAATAATCAAAAAGCTCATTCCGACCTTAAGTTTCTTTCAGAAGTGTCTACCAGGATCACGGCTCTTTGTGACATGGAGCTACGTTGTAATGTCGAAACCTCTCATTCTGAATTCCATGCTGTATTATCCATAGTGTTTATTATTACGTCAGAAATATGATGCTTAAATCATCACAATTTCACTCGCAACATACAGCATCAGAAACTGTAACCTCTTAATGATTTGTAGGTATACACAGGGCACTGTAACCTCTGCTATTTGTAGGTATACACAGGACACTAACCTCTGTGTCAATTGTAGGTATACGCAGGACACTGTAACCTCTGTGTCAATTGTAGGTATACACAGGACACTAACCTCTGTGTCAATTGTAGGTATACACAGGACACTGTAACCTCAGTGTCAATTGTAGGTATACATAGGACACTGTAACCTCTGTGTCAATTGTAGGTATACACAGGACACTAACCTCTGTGTCAATTGTAGGTATACACAGAATACTAACCTCTGTGTCAATTGTAGGTATAAACAGGACACTAACCTCTGTGTCAATTGTAGGTATACACAGGACACTGTAACCTCTGTGTCAATTGTAGGTATACACAGGACACTAACCTCTGTGTCAATTGTAGTTATACACAGGACACTGTAACCTCTGTGTCAATTGTAGGTATACACAGGACACTGTAACCTCTGTGTCAATTGTAGGTATACACAGGACACTGTAACCTCTGTGTCCATTGTAAGTTACCCAGGACACTGTAACCTCTGTGTCAATTGTAGGTATACACAGGACACTAACCTCTGTGTCTATTGTAGGTATACACAGGATACTGTAACCTCTGTGTCAATTGTAGGTATACACGGGACACTGTAACCTCTGTGTCAATTGTAGGTATACACAGGACACTGTAACCTCTGTGTCAATTGTAGGTATACACAGGACACTGTAACCTCTGTGTCAATTGTAGGTATACACAGGACACTAACCTCTGTGTCTATTGTAGGTATACACAGGATACTGTAACCTCTGTGTCAATTGTAGGTATACACGGGACACTGTAACCTCTGTGTCAATTGTAGGTATACACAGGACACTGTAACCTCTGTGTCAATTGTAGGTATACACAGGACACTGTAACCTCTGTGTCAATTGTAGGTATACACAGGATACAGTAACCTCTGTGTCAATTGTAGCTATACACAGGACACTGTAACCTCTGTGTCAATTGTAGGTATACACAGGACACTGTAACCTCTGTGTCAATTGTAGGTATACACAGGACACTAACCTCTGTGTCTATTGTAGGTATACACAGGATACTGTAACCTCTGTGTCAATTGTAGGTATACACGGGACACTGTAACCTCTGTGTCAATTGTAGGTATACACAGGACACTGTAACCTCTGTGTCAATTGTAGGTATACACAGGACACTGTAACATCTGTGTCCATTGTAAGTTACACAGGACACTGTAACCTCTGTGTCAATTGTAGGTATACACAGGACACTGTAACCTCTGTGTAAATTGTAGGTATACACAGGGCCCTGTAACCTCTGTGTCAATTGTAGGTATACACAGGACACTAACCTCTGTGTCAATTGTAGGTATACACAGGACACTGTAACCTCTGTGTCAATTGTAGGTATACACAGGACACTGTAACCTCTGTGTCAATTGTAGCTATACACAGGACACTAACCTCTGTGTCTGTGTATCACCTCTGTGTCAATTGTAGGTATACACAGGACACTGTAACCTCTGTGTCAATTGTAGGTATACACAGGACACTAACCTCTGTGTCAATTGTAGGTATACACAGGACACTAACCTCTGTGTCAATTGTAGGTATACACAGGACACTGTAACCTCTGTGTCAATTGTAGGTATACACAGGACACTGTAACCTCTGTGTCAATTGTAGGTATACACAGGACACTGTAACCTCTGTGTCAATTGTAGGTATACACAGGACTCTGTGTCTGTATAACCTCTGTGTCAATTGTAGGTATACACAGGACACTGTAACCTCTGTGTCAATTGTAGGTATACACAGGACACTGTAACCTCTGTGTCAATTGTAGGTATACACAGGACACTGTAACCTCTGTGTCAATTGTAGGTATACACAGGACACTGTAACCTCTGTGTCAATTGTAGGTATACACAGGACACTGTAACCTCTGTGTCAATTGTAGGTGTAACTGTAACCTCTGTGTCAATTGTAGGTATACACAGGACACTGTAACCTCTGTGTCAATTGTAGGTATACACAGGACACTGTAACCTCTGTGTCAATTGTAGGTATACACAGGACACTGTAACCTCTGTGTCAATTGTAGGTATACACAGGACACTGTAACCTCTGTGTCAATTGTAGGTACACAGGACACTGTAACCTCTGTGTCAATTGTAGGTATACACAGGACACTAACCTCTGTGTCAATTGTAGGTATACACAGGACACTGTAACCTCTGTGTCAATTGTAGGTATACACAGGACACTGTAACCTCTGTGTCAATTGTAGGTATACACAGGTCACTGTAACAGGACTCTGTGTCAATTGTAGGTATACACAGGACACTGTAACCTCTGTGTCAATTGTAGGTATACACAGGACACTGTAACCTCTGTGTCAATTGTAGGTATACACAGGACACTGTAACCTCTGTGTCAATTGTAGGTATACACAGGACACTGTAACCTCTGTGTCAATTGTAGGTATACACAGGACACTGTAACCTCTGTGTCAATTGTAGGTATACACAGGACACTGTAACCTCTGTGTCAATTGTAGGTATACACAGGACACTGTAACCTCTGTGTCAATTGTAGGTATACACAGGACACTGTAACCTCTGTGTCAATTGTAGGTATACACAGGACACTGTAACCTCTGTGTCAATTGTAGGTATACACAGGACACTGTAACCTCTGTGTCAATTGTAGGTATACACAGGACACTGTAACCTCTGTGTCAATTGTAGGTATACACAGGACACTGTAACCTCTGTGTCAATTGTAGGTATACACAGGACACTGTAACCTCTGTGTCAATTGTAGGTATACACAGGACACTGTAACCTCTGTGTCAATTGTAGGTATACACAGGACACTGTAACCTCTGTGTCAATTGTAGGTATACACAGGACACTGTAACCTCTGTGTCAATTGTAGGTATACACAGGACACTGTAACCTCTGTGTCAATTGTAGGTATACACAGGACACTGTAACCTCTGTGTCAATTGTAGGTATACACAGGACACTGTAACCTCTGTGTCAATTGTAGGTATACACAGGACACTGTAACCTCTGTGTCAATTGTAGGTATACACAGGGCCCTGTAACCTCTGTGTCAATTGTAGGTATACACAGGACACTGTAACCTCTGTGTCAATTGTAGGTATACACAGGACACTGTAACCTCTGTGTCAATTGTAGGTATACACAGGATACAGTAACCTCTGTGTCAATTGTAGCTATACACAGGACACTGTAACCTCTGTGTCAATTGTAGGTATACACAGGACACTGTAACCTCTGTGTCAATTGTAGGTATACACAGGACACTAACCTCTGTGTCTATTGTAGGTATACACAGGATACTGTAACCTCTGTGTCAATTGTAGGTATACACGGGACACTGTAACCTCTGTGTCAATTGTAGGTATACACAGGACACTGTAACCTCTGTGTCAATTGTAGGTATACACAGGACACTGTAACATCTGTGTCCATTGTAAGTTACACAGGACACTGTAACCTCTGTGTCAATTGTAGGTATACACAGGACACTGTAACCTCTGTGTAAATTGTAGGTATACACAGGGCCCTGTATACTCTGTGTCAATTGTAGGTATACACAGGACACTAACCTCTGTGTCAATTGTAGGTATACACAGGACACTGTAACCTCTGTGTCAATTGTAGGTATACACAGGACACTGTAACCTCTGTGTCAATTGTAGGTATACACAGGGCCCTGTATACTCTGTGTCAATTGTAGGTATACACAGGACACTAACCTCTGTGTCAATTGTAGGTATACACAGGATACTGTAACCTCTGTGTCAATTGTAGGTATACACGGGACACTGTAACCTCTGTGTCAATTGTAGGTATACACAGGACACTGTAACCTCTGTGTCAATTGTAGGTATACACAGGACACTGTAACCTCTGTGTCCATTGTAAGTTACACAGGACACTGTAACCTCTGTGTCAATTGTAGGTATACACAGGACACTGTAACCTCTGTGTAAATTGTAGGTATACACAGGGCACTGTATACTCTCTGTGTCAATTGTAGGTATACACAGGACACTAACCTCTGTGTCAATTGTAGGTATACACAGGACACTGTAACCTCTGTCTCAATTGTAGGTATACACAGGACACTGTAACCTCTGTGTCAATTGTAGGTAT